GCCCGTACCCGAGCTTTCCGATGAGGACGAGCGTGAGAGAGCGAGGGAGGAGCACCCCGATCACATCGACTCCGACTAAATCAGGTGTTTTCTATCCTTAAGCTTTGTGCTAATTTCGTTGAGGGCAACGAAAATTTTAAGTTTGGGGGTGAAAAACATGTTTTTGTGCTTACTTGTTTTAGTTTGCATGCATTAGGTTTTATTTATTTTTATTGCTTTTGTCTTTTTTTTTTCCGGAATAAAAAAAAATTGCTTGAGTCGAATGCATCGATGAGTTATGATGATGAGAGATGATCAATGTTTGATGATGAAATTGCTTGTTTTGTGTGATAAGGATTAGATGTTTGTTTAGCTTTCGATTCAATGGAACATAGAAGCGAATTATTGCTAGGAATCACACTTTGTGCATTGCATGGGTTGAATGTTTTGTATTTTAAATTTGGAATTAATTTGTGCTAGATCATGCTATTTCGGTTTTTAGAACTCAACTTAGGAAATTTATGATACGAAGTATTGAGTAGTGAGTGATTTGGGATATGATTTGGGCCTTCTTTGAACCGTTTGAGCCTTTCAAGCCGACCTTTTTATCGAAATTATCCTTAGAACCTTGATTTGAGCCTCGGAGAAAAGGTGTTCTTTCTTTTAGCCAACGTGTAAGGTAGAATAGGTGGAGATTCTTGAAAAATTACCCCTTGGAGTTCGGTCGAAAAAATTTATAAGGTCCTTCTTCTTTTAAAAAAATGCAAAGAGATAAATGTATAAGCTTCTATATATATAAAAAAAAGGAAAAAAAAAAGAAAAAAAAAAAAAAAAAAAAAAAGAAAAAAAAAAGAGAAAAAGAGAAGAAAAAGAGGTTAGAAGGGAGAAATAAGGACTAGTTGTTGAATTGTTTTGAAAGCTCGATCCATTGTCTTAAGAGCAAAAGTGGAGACTTTTGAACTCTTAAGAATCGAGTTTATTAAAGTCCTTAGAGGTGAATTCATTGTTTCAAACGCTTATCTTCTAAATTTTGGCGTAATCACCTCAATTCAAGAAGAATAGCCACATATACCCATATTTTCTGCCTCGAACCAAAGAGCCTAACAATTGAAAGCCACAAAGCCCCAATGATCCCAATAGTTTAATGTTCGATATTAGTAGAGTAGAATAATTTGGTGAGTATTTGGAGTCAAGCATATGCATGTAAGTATAAATTATTTCTATCTTTAATTTGCAAATATTGGATGCTTGAAGCAATTGTATGAATTGTGGTTTTTGGTAATGGTGAGTGACTAAGTGTTGTTGAATTTTGAGCTTGCGAATGCCTAAGAATTGTCATTATAATTACAAGTTCTGAAAACGTGAAGTTGATCATTGATCTATGTGATGAGATGTAATAGTTGAGTTATTTGCTTATTGGCAGATTTTGCTTGAGGACAAGCAAAAGTTCAAGTTTGGGGGTGTGTTAAGTGTATATTTTTACACTTTATCGTACCTTTTTATTTGAGCTTTTGGTGTGTTTTAACGATAATTGGTGCTTAAAAAGTTGATTTATTGTATTTTAGGTACAAATTGAAGAATTGGAAAAGTATGGGGTCAAAACTGCAATTTTGGAGAAAATATGGGCCAAAAGTGAAAAAATAAAAATCTGAAGATATATAGCATGGGACAGCCGTCCCAGATTTACACTTAAAACGGGGACGGCCGTCTGAGAAGCAGAAGCTGCCTCTGGTTTTGGGACGGCCGTCCGAGTTTTAGTGCAAAATTCGGGACGAGCGTTCGAGATGACGAAAATGCGCAGTAAAGGAATCCTAATTGCACAAGGAAACTACCTTCTTCTCCAAATTTTCCACCCTATATAAGACCAAGCCAAAAACACAATTGGGGGTCAATCTTTTATGCAATTTCAAGAGCAACAAAGCAATAACGAAGACGAAGAATTCGAAGACTCTAAGCATAGATTTATCGTTTATGGCTTATTTTATTTGCGTTTTTCCTTTAATCATGAGTAGTTAATTTTCTTATTTCTAGGATTTTATTTTGAACCCTATGTGGGATTTATGAACCATTTTTTATGATTTTATGCAAGTTTTAATTCCGGATTATTTCTTCTACTTGTTTTATTAAGTGCACGAACTTGATCAACTTATGTGCTTTTACGTTATTGTTAATTGCTTGAATCGGAAGATCGGGTTAATAATTAGAACTGTGGTAGAAGACCTTTTGTGGTATTAACATAGGAATATAGTTAATCTCTTAGGTAGCCGTTATTGAGATTTGTGCTTAATGTTGTGTTCTAGAATTAATTGCATAGGAATATAATAATTGAATCTAGAGTATTAGAATCGTAATACACGCGGAAGCGGGTTATGATTATTTTAGCATCTCAGGTTAATAATCCGGGTTAATTGTTTGCATAATTGAAGGAATTGGGGAGTAATAATCACATAGGGGGAAGAATAAAATCCTAGGCTCGTTTACTTTGGTTAAATCTTCGTTTTAAATTGCTTTCTTGTTTTTGCTTGATTTTTAATTTAGTTTAATTTAGTTAATTCTCTCAAAATTTGATTGTGTTGGGTGGGCTTGATAATAATTGGTAGAATTTAGCGTCTAGGATTAGATAATTAAATATTCCCTGTGGGTTCGATATCCGGACTTTTAGTCCACTATATTACTTGTACGATACGTGCACTCACTTGCGTGTAGGTTTTCGGCCAACACTATGTTAAGTTTTAATCGACTATGCTAGTAGTCGATTAAGGTTTAATCGACTATGATCAGTCGTCGATTAAAGTTAATCATTACGTTTTTAATTCATTTTTGAACTTTTGGTTATTGATTCCCGATTTTGCCACGTGTAGTCGGACTTGAGCATTTAGGTAATGTGTTTTTGTTCTGTCATTGTCAATCCATCATCCAATTTCTATAAATCAATACAATGTTTGTATATATTTTGTTTTGTAAAAAATAAATGATTTTCATTTTCTTTTTTGTAGTTTTTTTTTGTTATTTGTTTCGGTTGGTTATTGTTTGGATTCTTTTGTTGAATCGTGTTGGTTTTGATTGAATATATTACGGTTGTTGTTGTTGTTACTTTTAGTAATTAATTTCATTATTCAACCACAATTTTAGTTGTTAGTTCGTTAATCAACTATTCCCTTAGTCGATTGATTCCTGACAGAGAAAAAGTATTACAAAAAAATTAAAAGAAATAATAATAATAATAATAAAAAGTTATTTTTTATAAAATTAAAAAAGATATTAAAAAATTAAAAATTAAAAACAAAAATTAATATAAAAAGGGGGGAACAAAACTGGGGATATGTGTAGTTGGAAAAAAAATAATGGATTATTAAGGAATGGAAAGGAGCCTGGGTTTACATTAAAGAGTGAAATATGGGTTGGACATCTCCTTATTAATGAATTTTTTTGGAGATTCTCAAAGTGCCCCATTTAATAAAGGCAAAAATCAGCCCTTTGTAATTTGGAATTACCGAAAATATCCTCATGTTCAATAAATCAACAAGGACCCTCCTATGAAAATCGGTCAAATCAAATAAGGTCCTTGACAGCTTATCGTGGACACCACGCGCAGAGTGGGCTACCGGGGGTGACTTTTTGACCCGAAAGACCAAAATACACTTTAAATTATAATTTAAAAAAAATACAGATTCAACCCAAAATGAAGTTTTTGAAATTTTCAATTCAATTTTCACATTTTCAGAAACACCCTCTCTCTAAATTAACTCAAAATTAGAACATCATTCTCAATTTTTAATTCAATCCTTAACACACCCTCTTCTCCTCATCGAATAATGTCTATCTTGACCTCATCGAAAAATGTCAATCTCGTTTTCTATTCCCAAAACGGCTGGGGTCACCTCCGACCAAAACTCGAATTCCGCATTGGAGTTTGGAAGCAGGCATGAAGAAGGAGATATGGTCCAGCCAATTTTTTTCTCTTGTTCAAAGCTTGGCTGCACGAAGTAGATCTAGGTGGGTGGCTCCGACGTATGCGACGGTGAATCTCTGTTGAAGTGCTAGCATAGTCCCACATCGGTTTAATATGGGAAATATAACTTCTTTATAAGGAGGGGATAACAACTCTATTTATGGGACTTTTTGGAAAAACCCCAAGAGCAAAACCAATTGGATTTGGCCCGGATTAGACAATATAATACATATGTAGAGCTTGTGGTATCCCGATGGGCCCCTAACAATCTCGGCGGTGAATCTCCAATATGAGGTCTTTAACAGAGAGGTGTTGGGTTTGGGTTTAGAGACGGGATGGTGGTGGTTGGGTTTGATTTGACGGTGAAGATGATGAACATGGGGGGTCGGGTGGGTGGCTTTGATTTAACGGGAAAGATGAAAGAATAATGGATATGTTTGGTGAGCTTTTGGTCTTGCATTTCCATTTTATTCTGGAGAAAAGATGTTTTGGGAGAAGAATTTGAAAATAAAAAAAAAAAAAATTTGTTTGTGTTTTGAGATGAGACAATTTGTACTGTAGCAAGTTAAATCATGTTTAAAATGTGTTGGAGAAAGGAATTTAGAGAAAAAAATTTGAAGGATAAAGTAATTTCAGTTTGTATTTTAGTGAAGATAATTTTCACTGTAACGGTCAAATCATATCTGTTAGATAGAGAAATATTTGAATTATTTTTTGGATAAATTTTTGAAAATATTTGAAAAAATAATTTTATTGTGGAAAAATAATGAAAAGAATTTCAAAACCTAAACAAACATACCTTATTTTCTCTACGTTTCTCTTTTCTTTTTTTGTTTTTACTTTTTTATTTGTTTTTTGGGTTGGGATATTCTTGCATTATTTTGAACTATAAATTATTTTTTCATTTCACCTAAGGCAACAGTAAAATATCAAATAAGGGGCAATGTGCTTTGAAAAGAATAACATTGGGTGATTCTTGCTATCAATACAATGGTTTTTGTGGCTATTCAAAATTACACCGGGATTCTGTACAAATAACTCAAGTAATAAAACATCTTGAGGAATATAAAAGAAAAAACATAAAATAATATATAGAGAAAATCACCACGCACGTGCAACGCATGTGCACCTTACTAGTATATACAAATATACAAATCTGGTGGATATATATGGTGCTTCTCTTAGTACCTAGAATTCACTAATTATGGAAATATTAAACATAACTAAAGGTGCTGAGTTCTAGTTGCCACCATTTAGACCAAAATAATTACAAAAATCCATATCTACATTACATGAAACTAAAGCTTCTCAGATCATTAAGTCAAATAACCCAAGCTTGAATGGCCTTGCCAGCTTTTCCTAGGTTGACGTTATTAATTGCGATGAGATGATAAAGGAAAAAAAGGAATAAAAAGATTTAAAGATGGAGAAAACCAATCAAGAAAGCAAAACAAATACCAAACAGAACCTACTACATAATTCCAAAAAAGCAAAAAGACCGAGGAAGTAAGCAAAATCGACGGCAACTAACTTTGTTCGAAACAAATTTAAAAGGAGTTTTTGGCCTGAAAGAGAAACTAATAAGCTTTTCAATCAACGGAGAATGATAGAAGTCTTGCTTACTGTTTCGGTTCTTGCATATAGTATACAATGTATTCTATCCTCATCATCAAATCTAATGTTACGCCTCAGATAATTAGCCAACCTCAATCTGCAGCCCCTCCATGTATTTTCAGACCTGATATATATGAACAACTCAATAAATGAGTAATAACATAAGACAAGGTACATATACATATACACACCCAAATTAATCTAGTCCACTTCTCATTCTATTAATGTGAGCATGTAGCACAGATTTTATTAATGTCAATCGAGTAATATTTGTAAATTCTATGACAAAGCTAATTCACCTCTATATTCTAATAAAAAACTTACTTCCTCAAATATGAGCACACTTCAACATAGTTTTCCATAATAAAGAAAATGACATTAAAAGCCGTACAAAGAAATGATTAAATGCTAATATATACCTGTGGCCGTAGTATTTTGTTGTTGCTCTATGTATTTCAGAGCTTTAACTTTTGACCGGAATGCTCTAGAAACACCCGGTGCGTAGTATCTCTGCATAAAAAAACAAAACATCAATTCTTCATTTACTTTCCATGTTGCACATCAATTGATGATTTATCGTTGGTTAGCCATTTAGTTTTTGGTACCCCTCTTAGTTTGGAAAGAAATTAATTCCTTTCAATGTAACTCATTACAGAAGTAGCTATACCTACTAAAACAAGGAGACGTGGAAAAAATAAAACAAGACAACAACGAAAAGTGAAGGCTAAGAGTATATATATACATATAACAATTATTATACCCTAAATTACCTTGTCTTCGTATCCGGGAAATTTTCCAGTCAACGGCCTTTTGTTTACTCGCTTCACCCATCCTTCGGGCATCCACGAGTCGTCATCCTCTTCTGTTTTCTTGGTTGGCTTCTGCACAAAATATTAGATAAAATTAATACTTAAAAAAGTGAAGCCTCCATTCACAGTTGACAGGTCATTGTTTCCATGTCCAAATCTCTAATTCTATTCAATCGCCGCAAGCAAGAATTAATTAATTTAATACAACGTAGACAGCAGATATATACGCGATAAAATCACCCTTGCATGCACGGATAAAATAGCTACAAGAGAAGGCATACCTTTGTTGCACCACCTAATTTTGCTTTTTTCTGCTTCGAAGGTCCACAAGGCATCGCAGAACGTTCTCCGACTCGTTCTCGCTCCTATATAAGTTGAAAGTACAAAAGTTGATTAAAACTTTGCAAAACCATATATCAAAATCTATGGTAAAAGCATGATAAAGTCCATGATGCAACAAATAAATAACAAGATTCCACAAAATATATATACATATATACATATATACATATACATATACATATATATACATATAGATATACATATATATACATACATATATACATATATATACACATAAATATACATATATGTGTGTGTGTGTGTGTGTGTATATATATATAGATAGATAGATATATCATTGGGTTCTGAGGCTTGGATCTAGCTCATCTACTTTACCTTATGAGGTTGATTTGCTGCGGAAATTCGCAAAACCAGCACGGGTTGTTGAAGCAGCTGAGGGTTAGGCATAGGCTCTATGAAGGATGAAGGTGCTATAATTACTTCATATGGCCAGAAGAGTGATTTAATATCATCTTCTTCTTCTCCAAAAGGTGGCTCTGCCGATGGTTGAGGCGATGACACGTCATCTGCGATTGACTCCGGCCATGACATGGCGATCGCATCAGCCAAGCACTGTGGCTCTCTGAACACACTAGTTGAGCAAGGCTCGCTGTTTTCTGCTCTCGACATTTTCAAGGGTTTCAGACAAAGATTTAGGTTTTTTTATTTTTGTGTTTTTTTTTCCTTCTGGTGCAGGATAGATATATAGCTGTAGATATACACATCTGTCATCGGGAATATATGGAAACTGCATTAATTAGTCCACATCAGGAATTTTTTTTATAAATTTGAAATGGCTCCATTTCTCATTTAGAACTCATTTGAAATATTACCGAAACGGGAGAAGTGAATCAGCTAAACAAGATTCAGCATTTAAATGTTGAATTCAAATTAGTTTTCTTTTTAAAGACAAACATTAAACACCTCCTAAGATGGGTTAGATTTTTAGCACATTTACTGTTATTTTTGCAAGTGATTATATTTTCGTTAACTAATTAAAGAGTCTATTCACAAGGAAGGGTATGTTTTTTATATCATAGAAAATAAGAATGTAGCATTAGTTATTAGAAGTAAAAGATATTTTCTGAAACATAAAAGAAGGTGGTGGGAAACATGCAAATCATTTATCGCTCGAGAATGGACTCCAGGCCAGGTGGAGTCCAAATATATTTCTGTCGACAAAATAAAACACGGGGAAAAAACAAAGAAAGAAAAATCATACGAAGAAAATTAGTCTAAAGGCAAATTGCTGGTAACTTTAAACCCTAGTTCAGGCATTCCGAAAAACAAAATTTTAAAATTCAAGTCATGCAGCTGGCTTTGTGACCCTTTTCTTTGAAAATATTTCTTTGCAATTTAAAATATAACAGATTTGAAAATATTCCACTCAAAACTCCACAGGTAACTCTGTTGGTGCCATGCAAAATGAATTTAAATTCGAACGGTGAATATATAAGAACACAAGCAAAAGAATGTATGATAAAATATTGAACTTTCAGCAGGTAAATCGATGCACTCCAGAAACATCACTTTATTTCCCCAATTTCTACCAACAAAATGATTAACAGTACATGATGGTTTTCGAGAAAAGTAGTTAATAGACGATTAAAATTATAATACAGAAAATGTAACGGTTGAACAGGAGAAAATACCAGTGTCGTTCTCGAATTGGCAGATCACTGAAGAAATCATATGTGGTTCCTTAGAGAAAAGGGTACGAGAAAGTCGAAGTTTCTCTGGTGACAAACATCAAGCACGTGAACAGAGCACGCGCGGTATTTCAGCATCAACAGAAAGAGAAAAACAAGTATAGCAGCGACAGAAAGAGCTACACAGCAGCAGCAACAGCAGTTCATACCCCGCCGCCTTCGACGGTGCATCCTCGGCGCCATCATCAGCTGAGACACAAAATACCAACATATTCAGCCCAAAATCGAGTAGCTGCAGAGCTATCTTCTCTCTCCAAAAAAATGTGTCGAAAATGGTAATAACGTGTCTTCACCAGCTGATTTTTTATTTTAATTTGACGATAAGACCCTTTAGTTTCTATGAAATTAGATTTTAAACCACTCGACAATCTTATAATTATTCAAGAAATTAAAATGTAGGGTCAAGTAATTTTACGAGAACATTTTTACACTCATTCCTCTATAAATGATATAAAATAATAAGATTAAACCTATAAATTCGTTTGGTTTTCAAACAGTTGTTGCTGATCGACAAAGTAATCAAGAGATTCGAAGCGCAAATAGCTCTAAGAAATTTAAACAACTTAAAAAGGCTACTATAAGTCTCATCTAACTTAGATAAGACCTAGATACGATTTTTAATCATCGCTCTAAAACTGCTCTTTATGTTTACTATGTTAACTTTAAAATCAAATCGCAATTAAAATCCTTTTAATCAGTTGGCAACAATTACATTCACAATCAAGTAGGTATTAGAGGCAAGATGCCAAGATCAGTGTTCAAACCTCAAAATTTCAAGAGCTCCTTCAGCAAAGCAACTACAGCCTCCTCGGCCTGTACAAAAGAGAGAAAACAACGGATTTTAATTCATAACCAATATTTTGTAGAGTTAATGAACTAGGATAATACATAATTCAGAATCACTATAACTATCTCATACATACAACCAGGGCATTTACAGAGAGAAATTTCTAACAACAAACATTTTGCAAAAATAAAAAGAACAAAAAAGAAACCCAATCACTGTGACTATCGCTTAATTTACTTCAATTTGTGAGTAAATGGGAAAAATATCTCTCACCTTGTGGAGCGGAAACCACAGTACGGTTCTCATTAATCTTCAAGAATGTCGCCATGTCCGCGACAGTGTAGATGGAGCCAAGTTTGGCGAGATCGCTAATTTCACTGAAATCGGATCAGGTATTATTCTGAAGGGTAGGCAACGACGGCGGCGGTGGATTGGGGTGGTGTGTCGGAGGTTTCCATCGATAAGAAGAACAAATCAGAGCGGCTAGGGTTTGAACGGACCAGGTACTATTCTAAGGCGGAGGCAACGACGGCGGCGGTGGATTGGGGCGCCGTCAGTGGATTGGGGTGGTGTGTCGGAGGTTTCCATTGATAAGAAGAAGAAATGAGAGCGGCTAGGGTAATATTTACGTAATGATTAGATTAGATCCATCCTGGCAGCTTACAAAAATAAGCAAATTTGAGCAGCAGAAAGCAATCATTACTCAACAAAATATGGACATACTTAAGAACTTATCAAAACAGCTAAAAGATGTATGATGTGATAAGACCTTGAGTCCCGCAGTATTAAGTCTTTTCTCCATCTCTCGATAAACGTACTTCATTTTGTTCTTCTACGTGCATTTATTGTGTAATACTTCTACCAAAAATATACGTCTCGACACAATTTTCGACAGAGTAAAAAAGTAATCATGTTTGATTTTTTTTCTCTTGTTTTAATCAGTAATTATTATGGGTGCATGCAAGTGTATATTTTCTACTTCCATTCCTTTATTCATTCCCTTAAATCTGGACTCGTTGCATTTTCAAGATAGCACATGTTACTAACATGGAGGATCCAGTATGATTTTTTGATATTGAAAATTTACATGTCAGCATACAAACTCGGACAATCTCAAGCACATCAATTAGATCATACTGAAACTAGATACTTACGTGGAACATAAGCATTCCAGCAGTACAGCCAGTATCATGCACAAGTACATGTGTATATACGTATACGTGTACGTGCATACGCATACGCACATGCACGCACGAAGACATAAATATAACATTAAATGAACGACTATTCAGATTCCCCAGAGTCATAATTGTAAATTTAAGCTAAATGAACACGACTAGACTTGCCAATAAATGCAATTTCTTACCTCAAATATATCCAACCTCCAAAATAACTCTGTGCTTGTCTGGTTGCCCTGGAGAAAAATAATACGAAACAATAAGCAATAAAGCTATTGAGTTTAATAGTTCAAAAATATTTATGTTTTCATGAAACTTAAAGTTCTTTTCAAGCGATTATCATCGAGTCAAAATAGTTAACATACGGGAGTCAGTAATTGATTCCGACACACTTCTTCAAGTTTTCTTCAAGTTGGTAGTGTTTGTTTGTCTCATGTTCATAACACAAACTGAACTTCAAATTCAAACTGTTGAAAACTTAAAGACTGGACCACGTTGTCTATATTTATTATGAAGGACACGAGCTCTGTATGCTTGAGCTCCAACAGAATCATAAAGCTCAATCTCAGCACATTTGGTTTGTTAAAATTAGGCTTCTCCGAGCTCTGAGCTCATCAGCATTGATTTTTTTAAATACCTCAAATTTAGTTTATACATAATTATTTGCATAGAAGTGTTAAGTGCTGTTACTTTATAAAGAGTATGTATATACTTAGAAGTGTATAGTATATCACATTTAAAATAGTTAATCTAATATTGAGATTTATAGTACTGTTGCGCATAAAATTAAAAAAATTAATGACAAGAACTCGTAAGCTTGCTTCCAAAAGTGACACAAACCAATCCCGAGCTAACCTAGAAAACACTGAATTTAGTCAAGTCTTAAAGCAGCCAATTTCAGTCGTTTTGTACAATTGTTAAAACCCAACGAGGAACAAAAAATTCTAAAGGTAGTCCAGAAATAATGTTCCATATGTCGTCAAACTTTGGAGTAGGTGACATAAGTAGTAAGTGCTAAGACCCACCAATCAATAACAATATGCAAGAACAATAACTCGATATTCATTATGTTGAGATTAATTACTAAACCTAGTTAATATGAAAATATGTTTAATCTAAAGATGAAAATGCTTCGTTTATACATAACGAAGAAACCATGTACAATACTATGACGCATTATAAGACATTTAAACTTATTTTAATTTGCAAAGTCATTTGAATAATGAATTAAAATCTCCTAGTTATTATTGCTACTCATTTTCCAATCATCTGCATTACTATGATATTTTGGTATTTTCGAACATCAAATACTACATACAACAAGGACTTACTGAAATTTTTAAATATGATATATTTGAGAATGCAGCAGTAGCTAATCTTGAATTTATTATTGCTACAAACATGTAATGAGTTAAATAATTGAACTATCTTATGCCCTTCCTTAGATTTTCCAATAATCACAAGCTAACCAATTCCTAACCTGACATCATCCATTAAACCTCATAAATGAAAAATTTCATGATTACGTGGACACGCAAATTAAAAGTCATATCAAACAAATCGAATAAGTATGACGACGTGGACAAGCAAATTATTTATGGACTAAATTCCATTTGACCTTGACGGGAAATTATTACGTTCATTTATGCAGCATAATTACTAAAATGCATTCAAACGAACCAAGTGTAGACGTTAATACTGATTCTCTGGCAAACAAATACATGAGAAATACAACTAGTACTCATACAACCTATTTTAAGTTAAAAAAACATATTCATCAATCAATCCATCCTTGAGTAGGTTTAACTAGGTCCAATCAGATCATTGATTGATGTGAAATCATGAAAATCAGAAGATTCCATATGCATGTTCAGTTTTAGCTTACCTAAATACAGAATAAGATTATGTTCTTCCTCTGTCAGACCTAAAACTCTCAAGCTATTAGGATTCAAATTCAGGTAAAACAGTCGAGCCATCCAAAATTCAGCTATCTAACCATTCAAATCATCCATGAAAATCAACTTCATCTCGGGAAAAAAAAATAGAAATTAAGTAATTTAAATCCTAATTTCGTTGACAAATTCAGGAATAAGCAAGCAAGCGAATACAATAAATGTGTAACACATCTTAAGAAATCAAACAAGGAGAATTTCACAATCAAGCACGCAATGGTCAGTTTCAGAATTCCAGGATTAAAACTGCATAGAAAATGTACCTACACAAATTCTAAGCCGCCGCCGCTAAGCGTAGTGCTTTCAGAAAACGCCATCGCCAGCCGCCGCTCAGCCCAAAAAAATTGAGCCATCTTCGTGCAATTCAAAGAGAGAACGGAGTGGAGTGAAGTGAAGTATCGGTGGAAAGAGATAGAGAGAGAGAGAGTGTGGGAGTTATGGCAGGTGTTAGGAATATGATGTGGGAATTCTTCATGTTCTTCCATCCCTATCAAATTACTCTGCTATCAAATACCTCTTGTATTTACTTTCTTTTCATTTCTTTTTTCTTTTTCCTTTTCTCTTTGCCAAAATATTGTTTGTATCATTAGGGTCTCCTTAAAAATATTGGTGATGTTTGCTTATGTTTTAGAAGCCATTTTCCAATTCTTTAATTTATACTATTCATAAAATTGAGATCATATTTGTTAGATAATTTTACCGAGAAATTCATATTTTTTTTCATATTTCTATTAAAAATACACTATTTATATATTTTTTTCAATTTTCAAACTTATTATTAACATATATATTTTATTCTACCAACTCATTTTTATTTTCTATTTATCTCTCCTCATTAATATCTACACACTATCTCCTCATTAATAATATCTCAACCCCACTCTCCCTTCTAATCCTATAATAACTAGCATTTTTTCCCCGTGCGATGCACCGGATATTATTTCAAAAGTGAAAAAAAATAATCAATTTAATACAAAATACAAAAATATAGTACACTAACATGGTAAAATTTAATAATGTAGTATTATTCATATTTTATATAACATTAATTTTTTTAAAATTTTACATATTGAAATTTATAATCCAAATATATGGATTAAGATTTAACCATTAGGAAAGGATTCTTTACCGTTTAGTTTCAATTTTTTGATAATTGTTAAAAATTATAGTTAGAAATTAGTAGAGAAAAAATATTAAAATAAATATTTTTTTTATATATAAGATAATAATAATATGATAATAATAATAATAATAATAATAATAATAATAATAATAATAATAATAATAATAATAATAATAATAATAATAATAATAATAATAATAATAATAATAATAATAATAATAATAATAATAATAATAATAATAATAATAATAATAATAATAATAATAATAATAATAATAATAATAATAATAATAATTAATAATAATAATAATAGGGGTTATTGTGCATAAGTCCCTAACCAAGCATCTTTATTATTTTAAGCACCAATAAGCTCATCATTTAATATTTATTATAAATAAAGGAAAAAAATCCATGTATATGACAAAATTACCCCCAATCCTTTACACTCGATTTTTAATTGTAACTCCAATTTAATCAATTTTAACCACAAAAATCCAATTTTGACTTCTTTTTTTTCACAAACTTTTTTTTTCAAAAATATATCTTTTTTTCGCCGGATTACAGCGGTCAACGCCGGTCTCCGGCGTTGACCTATGATTTTTTTTTGCTGGTCTGTTTTTTCCGCCATCCGATTCCGGCATTGACCGTCGGTCTCTAACATTGACTCTTTTTTTTGTTCTTTTTTTTCCGCCGTCGGATTCCCGCGTTGACCTTTTTTAGTGTTTTTTTTTAATGTCTGCCGCTAAACGTTGACTGTAATTGTGCAGTCATTAACGGTAATTATACTGTCACTTACAGTAAATTAACGTAATTATTCTGACACTGACAGTACATTAGCGTAATTGTACTGCCGTTGACAATACATTTATGTAATTGTACTGGCGTTGACAGTAAATTAACGTAGTATTATTATTAATTTTTTTTGTTATTTTTTTTTAACTTTGTTTGATTTGTTGAAAAGTCAACGTAATTATATTACCGTTGTTGACAGTAAAATAACTGTAAACACAATAATATTACTGTCAACCACATCAATGTTATTATTATTTTTTTGGGTTTTTTTGTTTTGTTAGAGTTATTCACGGAGTAACGTAATAATATAACTATCTATTATTGTAATATTACTGTAAGCACAATAATATTATTATAGTTGACGGTAGGTAATATTACTGTTGTTATAGTAATATTACTGTCAACCACATCAATATTATTATTTTGTTTGGGTTTTTTTTGTTTTGTTTGAGTTATTCACGAAATAACATAATAATATTACTGTCTATTATTGTAGTATTGTTGTGGTTGACGGTAATATTACTGTTGTTATAGTAATATTACTGTCACTCACAGTAATATTAATTCAATTTGGCTTTTTATTATGTTTACATTTGTTGAACGGTCAACATATTAATATTACTCTATTACACAATAACAATATATTTTGTTATGTTAATATTATTGTGCTAGAGATTAGTATAGCAATATTATTGTATTAAACTGTAGTATAGTTAATTTTACTGTGTTTAACAGTAATATAATTAATATTACTGTCAATCACAGCAATATTGTTGTTTAAACGGAAAAAAGAAAAAAAAAGATGTTACTGAAATCGAAAAAGTCAACGCCAGAAACCGGTGGCGAGAAAATCAGGAAGAAAAAAAAATCAACGGCGGTGACAGACGAAATTCCCATGAGAGTCGATCTATTATTGTCGTCCGAGAAGAATGAGATCATTTTCCATGCGGGTGGAAATTAGACGGTACGTGTTTTTGTGGTGACGATGGTGGGGATGGTGATGGTGTGGTGTGACGACAGTATGGTGACAATGGGGAGACAAATCTAGAGTTTTTGGTTAGATCCGGTGGGGGCGGAGAAAGTCGCGCATGGTAGACCCTTAATCGACTATGTTATGTTTTAATCGACTATGCTCAGTAGTCGATTAAGGTTTAATCGACTATGATCAGTAGTCGATTAAAGTTAATCATTATGTTTTTTAATTTCATCGATTAAAGTTAACCATTACGTTTTTTAATTTATTTTTGAACTTTTTGTTATTGATGCCCGATTTTGCCACGTGTATCAGACTTGGGGCATTTAGGTAGTGTGTTTTTGTTCTGTCATTGTCAATCCATCTTCCAATTTCTATTAATCAATACAATTTTTGTATATTTTTTGTTTTGTAAAACATAGTTGATTTTCGTTTTCTTTTTTGTAATTGTTTTTGTTATTTGATTCGGTTGGTTATTTTTTGGATTCTTTTGTTGGTTTTGATTGAATATATTACGGTTGTTGTAGTTGATACTTTTAGTAGTTAATTTCATTATTCAACCACAATTTTAGTTGTTAGTTCGTTAATCAACTATTCCCTTAGTCAATTCATTCCTGACAGAGAAAAAGTATATAAAAATAAAAAAAAATTAAAAAAAAAAGTTATTTCTTTTTAAATTAAAAAAGATATTAAAAAATTAAAAATTAAAAACAAAAATTAATTAAAAAAGGGGAAAAACAAAACTGGGGATGTGTGTAGATGGAAAAAAAATGGATTATTGAGGAACGAAAAGGAGCCTGGATTTACATCAAAGAGTGAAAATGGGTTGGACATCTCCCTATTAATGAAAGTTTTTCGAGGTTCTCAAAGTGCCCCATTTAATAACAAAAATCAGCCCTTTGTAATTTGGAATTACTGATAAAATCCTCATGTTAAATAAATCAATAAGGACCCTCCAATGAAAATCAGTCAAATCAAAAAAGGTCCTTGAGAGCTTATCGTGGACACCGCACGCAGAGTAGGCTATCGGGGGTGACTTTTTGACCCGAAAGACCAAAATACCGTTTAAATTATAATTTTAAAAAATTACAGATTCAACCCAAAATGAAGTTTTTGATATTTTTAATTAAATTTTTCAAATTTTCAGAAACGCCCTCTCTCTAAATTAACTCAAAATTGGGACATCAATCTCACTTTTTAATTCAATCCTTAACACAGCATCTTCTCCTCATCGAAAAATGTCTATCTTGACCTCATCGAAAAATGTCAATCTCGATTTCTATTTCCAAAACGGCTGGGGTCACCTCCGATCAAAACCCGAATTCCTCAACCAGCCACGAAAACCCTCGGTTTCTTCAGTGAAATTCTAAAAGAACCCATGGCAGCGAGGCGGCGTTGGAGTTTGGAAGCAGGCATGAAGAAGGAGATCTGGTCCAACCAATTTTTTTTCTCTTGTTCAAAGGTTGGCAGCACGAAGTAGATCTAGGTGGGTGGCTCCGACGTATGCGACGGTGAATCTCTATTGAGGTGCAAGCATAGTCCCACATGGGACCTTTTGGAAAAAACCCAAGAGAAAAATCAATTGGGTTTGGCCCATATTAGACAATATCATACATATGTAGAGCTTGTGGTATCCCGGTGGGCCCCTAACAATCTCGGCGGTGAATCTCCAATTTGAGGTCTATAACAGAGAGGTGTTGGGTTTGGGTTTAGAGACAGGATGGTGGTGGATGGGTTTGGTTTGACGTTGAAGATGATGAAAATGTGGGGTTGGTTGGGTGGGTGGCTTTAGTTTAACGGGAAAGATGAAAGAATAATAGATATGTTTGGTGAGCTTTTGGGCTTCCATTTCCATTTTATTCTGGAGAAAAGATGTTTTGGGAGAAGAATTTGA